TAAAGTTTCACTTACACAATATGTCACTTTTTTTTTAAATCAAGAACACTGAAGGAAGTCAACAGGGCTGAGGTTTAGCCCACACACACTCAGATGTTCTTGTTCATCTCTGTGACTTTAACTCATCTGTACTTTCATCTAATTACCTATCTGTGGATCCATCCTCGCAACCTCCAGCAGATCAAAAGGTTTATTTGGGAAAACTTCACTGTAGGCTTACATTTAGGCTAAAATCTCTCACCGTATCTAACTTTTTATTAAACAGTTTGTAAACGTTTGTAAACATTTGCAAATATATTTTTATTTCTAAACCCGAGCTGTTCTTGAAACTTGGGGTTTCTCAGTAACAAAAAGATGAAGTTATTTTTACAATGATCACTATGACAGTTTTTCTGTTAAAGCTATCATGTCAGAACCTTAACTTTTTTGTATATCTTTTGAAAGTAGAAGTACTTATGACAGCTTTCACAACTTAAGAGTATTTGCGACTGTGGAGCGGAAAACTCCCTTTTAACAGGGAGAAATTTCCAGCAGAACCAGGCTTAGTGTGAGGGGCCATCTGCCGAGGCCGAGTGGTTTCAAGGAGACCGAAGTAGATATACAGAAAGAAGCAAAGATACCAGTGGTAACTGTTAACTAACTCCACAGGTGGCCCCATCCAGGAAAGACACAGCCAAGCAGACCAGCTCCAAGCCAATTCTGCTAGTCACAGTAAAAGAAACAGGACTACACTGGAAAAAAGGCCAAGCTCCGATATCCACAAACAGAGATGTTGATGACAGCAGCACAGTTAATATTTTAATCCAGGATGAATTACTTCTATGATGGATTACTACTATGATAAGAGAGAACAGCAGCCAGAAGCAGAGAGAACATAAAGATACAGCATAAGTTGAACTAAGGAATACCGCAGAATAGGAGAATTGAGATAGAATGGAGCAGAATAAAGAAGTTGTCCCTACGTGACCCAGCAGCCCAAACAGCAGCTTGAATATAAAAAAATTGTTAAGAATTGCTGACTATTTTGGATGAGTTATGAGAAAAGTAAAGCCACAGTAGGGCCAAAGTAGAGCTAAGGACAGACTTCTGAAGTTCCTAACAGAGCGAAGTGCTCTTTTAGGAACATAAGAAACAATAATTGCTCTGATAGGGTTTTTTTGTTTCTCAGTTACAAAAAGATGAATTTATTTTTACAATTAGTACTATGACATTTGTTATGCTCTCTCTACTTTTTTAAAAGTAGCTTCATCTGGACTGTTTCTGTTTGGCCATGACACCATCCTGGAGAGAAATATTAGCTGTGCTTCTCCCATCAACACCTTTGTTAATAGATGTTTGAGCTCAGCCTATTTTTCAGTGTAGTCCTGTTTCCTTGACTGCGACTGGCTGGATGTGCTCTCCTTTGACGTGGGAGCAAACTCGGAGCTTGTCTGTCTGGCTGTGTGTTTCCTGAAAGATGCCATTTGTGGAGCTGGTTGACAAGATCCTTTGTATCGCTGCTTCTTTCTATATGTCTGCTTCTGTCTCCTTGAACTCCAGCCGGCCTTGGGCAGATGGCCGCTCACAGTAAACCTGATTCTGTTGAAGGTTTCTTCCTGTTAAAAGGGAGTTTTTCCTCTCCACTGTCGCTATAAGCACGTTTGGTGTGAGGGATTGCCTTTGAGTCAATGAGTCGATGCAATCAACTAGTTTTCCTTGGATAGAAAACTTTAAATCAATTTTACTGTGTGATCTGGTTGAATTGTCTCTGTAAAGTGCCCTGAGATGACATGTGTTGTGAATTGGTGCTATATAAATAAAGTGAATTGAATTGAATATATGAGAAGGAGGATTTAAAATTTTGTTCTGGATCTAACAGGAAGCTAATGAAGGTAAGCCAAGACAGGAGAAATAGGAAAGGAAATTGTTTTATATAAAAAGACATCCATAACTAACAAATACCAAACAGCAAGTTTCTTTCACTTCTTCTAAGATCAAATAAAGGCATTGAAATTCTGCATGACTTCTCTTGGTGTGCAAAAAATACAAAGAAACTATCAAAATCATGATGGTGTGTGAACTCCAGGTGATGCTTATTAAACCCATGGCATTGTATTTCTTGAGTTGTATCAGTCCAAAAAGTTTGACAGTTAGGCTTTCCATGTCTTACCACCTACTCTCCACTCCAGGGGTAGATTTCTGGAAGTGTCCAACCTTCTGCTTGTAGAGAACAAAATACATGTGTCCTCAACCTGTCGTGTGCCATTGCAGCCAGTCTTGTAATTATTTAGGATGGTATGCTCTAGACAGTATCTTCATACTGGCTTAAGAGTGCTGATATGCTGGTTTAATAATTGCATCTCAGTGTACGATTTAATAAATAAATGCCAGCAGAAATTTGAAAACAGCATTTCTCCTTGATTTGTTATCATTATGCAAAGGAGATGAACAGATGAATAAATTAATTATGGCACTCCTTACTTTCTGAATGTCAACCATTGCTGTTGTCAATCTGTGACTCCTTTGAAACTTTTCAATGCCACAGACTGAAAATATAATATAATAGATTAGAAATACCACATTCCCACAGTGGGTAAATTTAGGAAGGTGTTTTATCTTTTTATCTCATTGCATCTAGCATAGTGTATAAAGATACATGCAAGTCACAGCATTAATCACTGATAATGTATTGTCTTAATCTGATTGCATGCCAAAGGATTCTCTTTTCTTTTTTTGCAAAAAAAAAAAAAAAAGATGCCGGAACTGTCTGGTTTTTCTTGTGTACGGAAAAAAACTGCAGAAAGAGATTAACTGTATTAGACTTAGTTCAAAGGCAGCTTTTTATCTAAATCAGTGGAAATAACTGTCATGACCATTAGAACCCTGCGATGGACTGGCAACCTGTCCAGGGTGTACCCCGCCTCTCGCCCATTGACTGCTGGAGATAGGCACCAGCACCCCTCGCGACCCCAATTGGGACAAGCGTGTAAGATAATGGATGGATGGATGGATGGACCATTAGAACCCCCCAATATTTTCTGACTTGTTGAAAAGTAAGGTTTCCTCTCATAGATTCATGTGGTAGAAGTTATTTAGTTGTGATGAGAATGTAATCCATATTTCCCTTACTTGAGCCACAATGTGATTAAATGCCTGCATTGATGCCCCCCATTCATTCTTTAGGTATATTTTTCAGTTTATTTAGGTAAGTTAAGTATTCCAGGGCGAAAAACTGTATGGAAATTCTTTTCTAGTAGTATATTTAAAAAATGTGTCCAAATCAGAGACACAAAGGGGCTCTTCTCCTTTTCTACCTGAACAGAGGGATGTTGTATTCCAACTGAAAGGCGGAGACCAACCAGCCAGTGGAGGACACCTGCATCATGTGCTTGCATCAGAGATCTCATTCTTTAGGTCATGATCTATAAATCTCATGAGTTCATATGAAGGTTTTGATGTGAACAATCAATACCACAGAAACATGTTTTTTTCAACTGAGAATCTTTACTGTCTCAGACTATTAAGAACCCTTATTACTGAAGATTAAGCTGCTGATGGATTATTTTCTCCCACCAAAAGTGTCATACTGTACAGCTTTTCTTTTTCTTCAGGCTGAGACCCATAACTGCAAAAGGCCAATTGCATGCTGAGGGTCAGAGCTTCATAGACACATGCATCCATATACATTTAAAACAGACTCTGTGAAGCCTTGAAGAGGCCTGTGAACAAAAGATATCCTCATAATCTGATAGATTTAGAGACTTGTTTTTTTTTTTTTTTTTTTTTTAAAAAGGTATTTCAAAAAGTCATTTGTTTAAGGTTGTGCACACCTCTGAAACCAGGGCATTGCATATATTTTACATTTTTAGATTTATTTATTTTTATTGTAAAATTGTGGTTGGTAAAAATATAACCATGCATGTGCACTTCTGAGAGCCTCTGTGCACTGCATAAAAATAGGAAATCTACATGTGGAAGTGTATAATAGTAAAGCAAAGTCAATTCACTTTAAATATTTTTTAAGTAGAGTTCCCAACTACAGGTAAAATCCCTTTCTATTCCACTGAAGAAACTTCTATCTTAAAAGTAAATTGTTTTGATATAAGAAGTGCTGAGGCAACAACACAAGAGAAACACTTAACTGGGTCACCTTTTAAACAGTGTAGGCTAAGTGTTTGCATGACAGACAATTATTACACCATGTTTACGTCTTTGTTCTGAAAAATCTCTGTGCTTTCTGATTAATCACATCCCTATATGAAATTTGCGGGAAAGATATGAGATGTGAATCAATCCTTTGCCTAACAGTGTGGGTCTGTTTCTTCTTCTGCTGCTGCAGTTGTCTAAGAACTGACGAATAGGAAAGAGAAGACATGAGAATGGAGGAGATGATTCATTTTTATGAATATCCAGATTATCAAGCTTTGAGACCTGCTCTCATTTTCAGGCTGCTGCTAAAAATCCGACTTGGTAGCATTAACCATGGGGCGTGAACGTAGATGACTGGCAGTGACGTAGTGGTGACGCAGTGTGTTTGGCGTTGCAGTTTCGTAAAAACAACCAGAGCTTCCATGAATGACACTGACAAAATTTGTAAACAAGAAACATTCAGTATGATTCAATATAGAAAACTAAAATAAATTACACCAAAGGTCAATACTCCATTGGAGATGAAGTATATTGACACTAAAGCATAATGTTTTATGTTACCGAGTTTGGTCAAGAACCTTTCTTCTGTTTACTTTTCTATGTTTTGTTTGTGAGCTATTAATTTGTAGAAACTGTTAAAGACTTAGAAGAATTGGAAACCAGAAAAGGATAGAGAGAATCCGTGGGAGGAAGTGGTGCTCCCTGTTTACTTCTCTGTCTTACAGTTTCCAGTCTGACAAAACCACAGCGCATCAAAGTCTCCCCCGTAGCTGAAGTCACATGATCTGCAGAGGAACTACCCAACAGTCTGCCTCCACTTTCACCCACGGGCTCATATATAACCTCCCCAAGCTGAACGAGATAAAAGCACATGAGAGAGAACATCAGTGAAGGACTGCAACCGTATCCAGGAGGTGGAAAATAGAGCCTGGTCCAATTTGAAGGATTTATTTTAACTGAGGGAGTACATTTGAAGCAGTAAAATTATGCTTGTGGAGATTGTCCTCTTTGGAGGGATTTTCCTTCTCACAACAGGTAATTTTACAAGTTTTTTTTAAATAGATCTAAAAAGCATCACATATATATTTCTAAATTTTTGTGAGTTTTCATTTTCACAGTTTATTCATCTTGTGTTGTAATTCTAGGAGCTAGATGTGAGATGACAGAGGTGACGGCTGAGGCAGGTTCCCAGGTTGTGCTACCTTGTAAATGTGAAATACCACAGTGTGATCCTGCTGCCATCACCTGGAGTAAAGACAACAAAGGGTAAGGCACAAATCTCAGCACTCTTTGCTTATCCATGCTGATTTCCCTTCTGCTTCAGTACAACTGATTAATAATTTATAACATACACAACTACTTAAAATAGAAAAATAACTAATTAGATTAATGTTGAAATCAAATCAAAGGTAAATAAACAAATTAACTCTGTAAACATTTTTTAAGCACAAAATTAAGTAACTGGTTATCAAGATTTGATTTGATGATGCTGTGTATAGTATTTATTAAAAGATAAGAAAAATATCAAAAACATGAACAATATTTCAGTGTTTATTTAACTATTTCATATTTGATGTGCTGCATCAATCATGAAATAATTTTTATTTCTATTCTGTCTCTGCAAATAGACCCTAAAATGTCTTTGTTTTACCTGCACAGCTGGAGACCATTCCACTTGTCTATAGACTTACTGGTCCTATTAACTGACTGTTACAAAAAGCTCACAAATAAATACAAAACTAAAAATGAATACGAAAAATAAAAATAAATCCAGATGCCTTTAAGATATATTTTTCCGTTTACTTATCCTTTAACGTCATTAGTACCAAATGTTTTTATTTCATGTATTTCCAATTTTAAACAAAAATATATAGATGTTTTACCTTATTGATAAAGAGATTTTGTCTGTTCATAGTTTATCTGCATGGTTCCTGACTCTGATGTTTCTTCTTTTTTTTTTTAACACAGCACGGTTTGGAGAAAGCAAAGCAGCGGTCTGCAGTACTTGGGCTCTAGCTGGTTTCAGAAAGGGTCTTCACGGGTGCGGTGCCCACACTCCGACTTTGTCAAAGGAAAGTACAGCCTAGAAATAAACGATGTGAAGGTGGAAGATGGCGGACTTTATAAATGCAAGGTGGAATTCAAAGGCCGTGTTATAGAAAAAGAAATTATGCTCCGAGTTCTTCAAGGTAAGAAACTCAAGGTTTTAGTTTGAGCTCTTGTATTTCTGGCATTTCTTACTGTTGGTAGAAAGAAATTCTAGTACAAGATCCGCTGATGTTGCATTCTTTGGATAAGCTGAAAAACTATAAATGAAGTTTACAGATTAGATTTAGCCATTCCTTTCTTTGCTAAATTTAAGCTTCTGAGGTGCAGAAATTGTGCTACTATTGAACACTAAAACTTAATTTTTTTCCTTCCTCTCTCACAGTGTCATTCTCTCCGTCGGCTCCTATGTTGGGGGATGTCGTGTCTGTTCAATGTACCATGTCACCTTGGCCTGAAGGTGCTGTAGTTAATTGGATGGTGAACAGTATTCCATACGAGCCAAAGAATTCAGTCATAAAAAACCAAAGTGGAAGACTCATCAAGGAAAAGGCATTAGAAGAGCTGGCAGGAAATTGGACATGTTTCATCCACAAGTCCAAGAATGTATGGAAAGCCACAGCGCAGCTCTCTTTTAGAGGTGAGAATCGGATCATTTAAGTGCTTTGGGGGTTTGTACTGATTTAGATCACACTTATAAAATACATTTTTCCTTTTTAGGAATAATCCAGCCATCCAAGGACAACATCAAACTATATGCTGCACTGGGGTCTCCGTTCACGATGCCCTGTATGTTCTCTCCGGGGATTTCACCCACTTGGGCGATGGTGGAGAAACTGGACAGCGAATTTTCGCCCATGTTTAAGAACCGCTCTGTTTCTACATCACCCTCGGACAAGTCCATTATAATTGAAGAGGTCCAGCCTGAAAATGAGGGCAAGTACAGGTGCACGGGAATCGTAAAAACACAAACACTGACAAGGTCAATGCAGCTTGTTGTTGCTAAAGGTATGTTTCTACAACGCATCCAGCTGCTTCTAATTTTTTTCGCAGTAATATGTTTATTTTAATGTTTTTAATTCTTCTTTCCTCAGTTGTCAAATCAAAGAAGAGAGGCTCTGTGATGCTGAGCTGCCAACTGTCAGACTCGAGCGAAGTCACCGACTACGAGTGGGTCCATGTGACCTATGACATCAATGGCACAAAATCAGTTGGGTCAATCCTGCATGGACCGACAATTACAGTGGAAGATAATTGGGGTGAATGGACATGCCGTTACTTTGGGAAAAGTGGACTTTTGGGAAACGTGACCACGCAGGCTTATCTAATGGGTAAGACTTAGGCTTGAAATAAATGCTCACTTCATAAGGAGACTGGATTTATCTTTATTGGAAATCTAACAACATAATCTTTCTCTTCTGCTTTAGCTGGTCTGAGTGGAGAAAAATCATCAGCAGCCTCAAGTAACACCGGCACCGTGATCGGCCTCAGCTTTCTTCTCGTCATTCTGCTACTGATCCTCGCTCAGATGTACAAGAATCACCAAAGGGTAAGTTAAACATTTCAGTTCCTTTAGAAACTATACTGAAAAATTCTGGAAATTCGTTGTTTTTTTCCCCCTCAAACGGGAAAAAAATGATTGCCAAAACTAAAATCCTGACCCATAAAACCCAACCTCAGGTTGATCGATTCTTTAAATCTGATAAATAAATCATAGGTCTCACGAATACTCCTCAGCTCTTATTTGTTTGCCTTTAATAACTGAGTGTTATCTCTTCTTTGCAGAGGAAAAGGATTCTTCAATATCCCGCTCTGGAGACTATTGTTCACACCATCTCCAACGAGCGTGAAGAGTTAGAAAAGAACCGAGTGAAAAACTGAAAAGAACCCTTTAGATTTTTTTTGCAAGAGCACATTTCCAGTTGTACTTCTTGGTGAAAGGTCATTTTTCATGTAAAAATCCTATATAGGATATTATTTGCACATATTTTGTAAATAACTTAATAGCAGACTTTGTAGCAGGTACTATAAAGGAATTCAATCTGTAATTTAATTTCAGCTGTAAATTGTGTTGATTATTATGTATATGTATATAAAAAATAAAGTGCACTTAACAGAAATAAAGTTGTTTTTATTTCTAATGTACAGAATTCTCCTGCTAAAAGAGAAGATGTGGGTGATATAAATAAAATATCATATAAATCACAATATAAAATTGCAGAATTTACAGTATATTCATGATTCTGAATATTTTACAATATTTTACAAATTAGCTTTGCTCATAAATTTTGATACTGAAGAAACATTTTTTGCATTTGCTAGTGCAACCATAACTCATACTTATCAATCTGCATTCCTGCTTTTTTATTCTTTAGCTAAACATTTCATTCTCACTGCCAGGTCTTTAGCTAATTTAACAGGACTGATTTTGTATTGCTCACTGAGGGTCTTTTTCCAGATTTACACCTGACTGTATTCTCCATCGTCTTGCTCTTGACCTTCAATGAAACCCCAGTCAGGCAAAACTCGGCTGATTCCCTCCAGAAGTCCTTCCCCTCTGGGAGCAATGTGATCCATGACTTCGTCGTCATCGAAGCACCAGCCTGTCCAGTCCACATTTACGCCATTTAAAGGGGTATTACTGAAACAAAGAAATGGAAACAGACCCTTAAAACAGATTTTTGCATATATACGTTGATAAAACAGTCAGGTTTTATGTTTAAATCCAAATTATGGTGCATCTAAGCGTTAAAGAGGTTTGTTTCAGGAGTTGAACAGCAAAAAAGTCTTCATACCCATTAAATGTTTTGAAACTACAACAATCATAATTGTATACATTGAGATTATATGAGGCAGACATACGCAAAACAGCTGATGACCAGAAACTTTAAGGATCTAAAAACATTAAAATAAATTCCAATGTTATAATTTCTATTCCTTTTTATAAATAAAAAGGATATAAATACATTGCATGCATGTCAAAGCGCAGAGGCCTGGCACCTGCATGTTCGGTGATTAATACATCTCTAAAGACCTTTAACCAATCAGATAATCAGTATAAAAACATGCATTTTACTAATTAAAAAGAATAATTGTAAAAATGTGTCTGGAAAAAGCTAAACCAATTTAGCCTGATAATGAGGACTTCAGAATGCTCACTGAGTGCTGTGGTTAAAAACATGAGCAAGGCAGAAATATCTAATTTTCCATTCTCATATATCACTCAGTATGTTACCGGCCAACTCCTCCCTGTTAACTCATTTCAGTAGAAAACAGACGGACACATTGAGAAATAAATTTTACAAAATGTTCCAACTGCCCTCTTTATACAGTAATAGTTCAGCAGTCAAATAGAGACAAGTTGGCCTTGCAGAAATACATTTTTGCTAACAACAGCTACCAAACAGCAGCATCAGATAAATAGCCTCATAAAAAACGTTGAGCTAAAGGGTTATAAAAGACAAAATAACCCTGAGCAGTAAGGATGTGAATTATTAGCAAATGACACTATTTTAAGGACAGAGAATTGTAGTTTGGGTGAATTATTTATATCCACAAACTTGGATGTGGCACATTTTAAGATAAATATGTGGGGGAAAAAAGCTCTTATACTGAGGTAAAGTATTGAGGTAAAATACACTGAGAAATATTTCATGTTGGGTACAGCTATAGCAACTCCAATTATTAAAACAAATGTTAAGTCAAAACTGGTTCTTAATTTTAGGAAAATGCTAATTAATATATAGTAACCTTGACTATAAAGTTATGCTGTAACTTTTTTGATATATATTTTGTTGCATGCATGACTACATAACACCAAGCATGGTGGAAGAGTGAATCTATTTGTGGTTTCTGTACTCGGGGTCCCTGGCCTTGATTGTTTGAGATACCTTCCTGTTACGAAACATCTGCGATTGCAACGCGTTCAGTGTTTTAAAAGTAGGACAAAAATCTAAAACATACAAAGCACTTGGACTAAAGGTCATGATTGCCAGAGTTTACACCACTGTTAAGCCAAAAATGTAGTAAAGAATCAAAATACTTTTGTCAAGTGAGATTATAGCTGAAACTGACTTAATCAAAGACTTGCAGAGGCAGCATCCGAGAGAGTGTAGTGCCTCAAAGCAATGATTGGACCTTTTCCTAATAGTGAAAGCACACATGTGAAATGTTTGGTTTTTCTTAAGGATTTATAAAATTACTAAATTATACAAACCTACTTGAAAATAATGATATTACATAGCACTATTTCCATTTGAGGACTCCAAACTTGTGTAAAAGGAATTACACAAGCAATTTTCAAATGCTTGCTTTACAAAAGTAAAATTTTTTTTCTAGGTATTTATAGGACTGTTTTATCCAGTTCAGAACTGAGCTACATATATGTTTGCCCAGGGTAGTATTAGAAAGGATGATGCATGATTAATATAATAAAATAATTTACTTATATATTTTTTTAATTTTCTAAACCATGAGCAAGTTCTCTCAAGCTTGTATGTATATCTAGTCCCAACGTGTTGTTGAGGTATCCAGGCTGGTTTTGGCCTTAAAATGAGGCATTTGAGGTAAGGCAGGGTCATACATACGGAGTCTCTATATCTATGGACAGATTATTGAGACACATTTTAATTTTGCACTGTTACTATTACAAAGATATAATATATATGAAAAACTGCACAACAAATTAAACCAACACGGAATCTGAATTTATGTCATACAGTATCAAGTTGGCTCTATCAAAATCAGGGTTAGCATACTGAGCATGCAGTAGTGCAGCCTGCATCAGATAATACAGAGTTATGCAAGTCTTTCTGTCCCTGATGCTAAAACACCACAGTGTGTCTGTAAGCACTGAGGTCAACGGAAACATTGATGCCCTCGATTATTTCTATTCTAAGTCATGGTTTTAAATGCGTAACTCCCGCTTCTTCTTGGTAACAGATTATGCAGATGAAGAATAAAAAATAATAAGAATACTCATTATTTTTCAAATATACAACATATAATTGTTGGTGTGGGCCTTTTAGCACTTTTATGTTTTCTAAATCTAAACTTTAGTATGGATTTTCTGACACTCTTGATACAAAAGTAAAATGCAGATAAAAGTAAGATATAAAATGCAAAGATGCAAAAGCCCAAATGATATAAAATTTTGAGATCTTCAAAACAAATATTGAATATAATTTTTAGTCTTTGCATAGTTTTGTTGCAGAAGTTGCTCTTCCTCATTTAAAGTTTATCTAAAAGCCACAGATATTACATATTTTATATATTTTTAAAAACAAAATAAAAGCCATATTGGCTTTGTAAAAAAAAAAAAAAAAACACCCAATAATGTTTTTCTGCTATTTTTTTCTCTCATCTAGCAATAAGTTTGTGATTTTTGGATTGTCTTGTTTCAGTCTTTTACGCACCCTGGTTGTCTTAGTTTAGAAAGGGGATCATTCCTGTTCTTGCAGTTTCTGACTTTGGTTTGTGGAAATAACTTTTTTTTTCTCAGACTGAAACACTGGATAAAGGTTAAACAATTCTTTGAAAACATATAAAATATATGTTTGGTGGCCCAGAGATCAACACAAGTATGTGTAACATGCAAATCAACCCTGAGTCTCTTTATCCACTCTGAAATTCAATTCAGTTCAGTTCAAAATTACTTTCTTAATCCCAAAGAGATATCAAATGTTGCAGTAACTCATAGGGGTTTTTCTTTGTTGTTGTTGTTTTTTTTTTTTTGTCCTTGATCTTCTTCACTATGTAGAGAAATCATCTTTGTAAAATAATCTTACTAGAAGTTTGAGGTGTATTCAGTCAAATATTTATGTGAAATTATCTATTGCTCTGTGATATCTTAGCCCACTCTCAGTGTAATACTGTTTGCGTTTTTGGATTGCATTAATATAAACAGATTGTGAATGTCTTGCCATTCAAAGTACCTCCTTTTACTTTTCATATCACTATTTTGGCTACGACATTTATTTTATTCCGAATTTTCACCTCACTTACCAAGACATCTATTTCTGCCTCGGATTAATTTTTTTCACTGTCTTCAAAATGGATTCCTTTGAAAATAGCATTGAGGGTCATAGTTACAAGTTTTTTCATCAAAATATGAGTATAAGAGTATTTTTTCTAAAATAATACATTTACATGTCAGCTAGAATGGTGCAGAATAAAAGTATGTCTTGTTTTGATACATTTTGAAAGGTCCCAAATACATAAAAATTCACTTCTGGTTACAATGCCAACATTGAAACTAAAGAATTCTGCACCAAATATAAAAAAGTAGTAGGAGCGCAGGTGTTGCCACATAATTAATGGCCAAATTACTGCTCTGAGGAATTTCTGTTTCTCTACAATGGAAGTCTGAGATTCAAGCGAACCCAAAGTAAAATAAGGGTGAACATAGGTCAAGTTTCTGAGCATTGGTGCAAACCTAAAGAGACAAAGGTGCTTAGAAGCCATGGACAGGTCACCACCTTCCTTCTGGACCGTTAAATAAAATGTTTGCCAGCCACCAGTTAGCAAACCTGGCAACCAGCGAGCCCTCAGTACAATTAGAGGTTGGGATGACAGCCAAACATAAACTTATTGCTCTACCCTTTAAAATCCATCTTAACTTTGATGAGGTCCTTCGCAGTGACCATTTATGGTAAAATGTGGCTGCGTAGAGGGCCGAAATTAGGGGGCACTTTTTAAGTAAAGCACTTTAGATTATTTTTGTATGGAATTTTGCTATACAAATAAACTTGTCTTGCCTAAGTAAATGTTGGGGTGCTGCTGTGATTTAAAAGAAAAGTTTCTTGCAGGTGAGCGTTTAGATTGGTTTTATATATTTTAATTTTATGGTGTATGCAATTTTTCTAACTTTTGGACAATGAATACTTTAAGTTTGGATTAGTATGTCTTATAAGACCACGTACCTTTAAAAACTTATGAATATAAGTTTTGCTTATGAATATTTTGCTTCGTATTTAAATCCAGTTATAATTTGCTATATTGTGTTATTGTCTCACACAAAATCCCCAAAAGCACATTAAAGTGTATTTAAAATTTTAAAAAG